GGACAAACAAAAAAACAACGACAGAAAAAAAAGAGAAGTACAACGCCCCCCCCCCCCCCCCCCCAAGAAAAAACGAATCAGCATTTTGAAAAAAAAAAGACAAACAAGTAAACACAACGCAAAGGATGACTTATTATGGAAAAAATATAATTGATAAAGAGACGGTTTCAAGAGAAAAACGAGAAACAACTAATTGTACTAGAATATCTCCAGAAATTCTGCATAGCATCTGATATCTTCCACATTGATATTGATTACTGAGTCAGATAAATCGTGATTTGATAACCAATTTAACATACGGTAGCTCACCAAATGGGCGCTCGTCGTAAGTGAATGCGAAAAATCCATCATTTCAGTAAAGACAGTTGTAAACTCGTTTAAGTAACACATAATAAAAATGACTAAGATTTGTTCATTGCAAATCCGTAAATAATAAGAAGAGCACATGAAGCCACATACACCATAGCAATTTGTTGACGAATTTTAATTTAGACATGACGAATGACCTGTCCTCAAATAAATTTTGTTGTCATCCAGTAGTCTAAATACTTATAGTTAATAGGCTGAACAGTTAGAATCAAGTAATGTTTCAAGTGGTCAGAGAACGAATGCAATCGTCGTTCTAGATCGAGACATTGCTAAGTATATTTGATTCCGACGAGACCAGCAGTAACAGCTGCTAGAGCAACGGTAAAGAAATACGACATAGTCATCGGGAGAAGATCCCACATATCAGCATGCTACTCGATGAAAAGGGTTGAAATAAAAACTGGATCCTTGCGATTCACACAGACAAATTGAAAACAAATGAAATCTTTTGCTCTGAATCTCTATGGTACCTATTTTACTTTCTAGGCACTCACGAATCCGTTTAACAAAAGTCATTTGGAATGCCCATACGAGTTAATTTTCCTAAACATCCTCTAAACCATAATTGATCAAATGTATTCTTAAAATCAACAAAAACGATAGCAATGAGAGTGCTATTTGACATATTAGAGATTATGTGTTTGATTAAGAGTAAAACACATGTTTGTAGGTGATGTCGCGCACAAAATCTACATCGGTTATTAGGTAAGATTTCTCGATATTTGAGCACTTGTAGAGATAGTACAACGAATTGCCAATGCGACTAGAAGTTCAACGAGTAAATTGTATGTTAGATCTTAACAGTTTTCATTCCACTGATATTCCCAAAACTCGAAAGTATACGAAAATAAAACCGATAATACTGTCCATATTGTTCTAGAGGCCATGCATGTTTCACGATTTTCTTAGGTTAAAATGTAGATGAGAGGCTTATAATCACTTTTTTGTGAGGTCTCTGCACGTTTGAACCGAGTTTTCGGTCCCAGCAGTAAAAAATAACTCCGTCGTGAGTATATTCTTCCGCTTGGTAGAAACACCAGTAGTCAGGATACGTTGCTTCGAGTAGTGAGAAATCAGCTTAATCTACTTCACTGAAGACTAGAATGTCGAACTGATATTTATTTGAAAGTAGGAGAGAATAGTTTTTGTAAAAACAAGAAAATTATAATCTATCATTTTTCGAGCAGGTGTATAAACAAGATAACGAGTAGCTACACTCTTTTAGATAAGACCAGGCATGTCTTGAATTTTTGAACTTTAGACGCAACGCAGTTCTTGTTTCAAGGAACTAAATTAACATTACTGGCTACGATAAAGCAAATATTAGTTATAACATGATTAACGCTGGACATATGACCTTCTAATTTATTTTCTAGTCCTTGAACTTTCTTCTAAATATCTTCAATTTTCTTTCAAGACTCGTCATGACGTTCGTGCATTTCATCGCATAGATCGCCTAAAGTTTTACATGTTTTATTTGATTCATTCTTGAGCTCATCAAGAAATGAGTCTAGGTTTTTTCGAGAGTAGAGTACCTAAGTTTCCGACGATTGCTTGACTAGTTGTAACAACAGTAAATGGTTCTCTATGATTAAAAAGTTGTATCAGAGAGCGTGGAAAAGCTTAGTATGGCTAGAAATGATGTGTCGCACACTCTTTTCTTTTATTCCACTGAGTTCTCCTTATTGACATCGAACAGCGATGCATAGTGAGTGCAGTGTCTGTTAAATAGTGATTTAGGGGTGGCAGTTTATATACATAAAAAACAAAAGACAAACAAAAAAATTCTATCACATAATCATGTCATTTCAAATGCGGAATATCGACGAACTATCAAGGACGAAAAGAGGTCAAATATGTATATCCATTGTTTCCAATTATGAAATCAAAGGCCGAAAAAAGAATTAAGAAATTTATTTTTTCAAAAGAAAAAGAAAAAAGTCGACACCGGAGTGTGACTCGAATCGAATCGCATCACAAAATTTTGACTGATGTCGAACATTGCTGAAAATATCTTTATCTTCATATTCTGCATGTAAAAGCTGACGTCAAAACACATCCAAAAAGCAATGACTAAAATAGAGCATCATTTTTGTTTTTGACAATAAAAAATAGTCAAATCGTTAAAATTAATGAAAGAACTCAATTTGAAATCAAACAATCAGTGAGCCGAATTAGCTAAAAGTTGTTTTGGGCTCAGAACACATTTATCAGCTCATTTTTAAGAGGTTCTCCTCAAATTCTTCTTTTAGGGAGCTTTCATTGGAATAATATAACTTTGATTAGAGCTTCTTGCAGAATTTTACAATCACTGTCTACTATTCTACGATAATTGATTTCACTTGTTCTAGATCCAGGGGTAATGACATCCGCACCAACGATTGAATTGGTTGAAGATTGTTCAGTGATAATATGTTCAACTTTCACTCCATGCTTAAGTAGAGAGGGTTGTGTGTGCTATTCACTAGAGAACGACAAAGGATGCGTTTTTGGTACAAATGCGCCTTGCAACACACTTAGCGATTGCAATCTTAATCGAACATGTGATGATCCAGAAGCGATATGCATACTGGACAGCTGTTGCAATAAGTCTGTCTGTTTTCCACTCAAATATGCGAGCAACAGTGTGCGTCTTCGGAAACGGAATTCTTTCCTTCGGCTATGATTTGTCCCTTTCCAATAGTGTATGTCATTATTTCAATAATAATTTTATTCAAATAAAAGACCCTGCCAAATAAGTGCCCACATCCGATGTTCTCTGACTCGACTCGAATGTATATTAGAGAAAAGCTTACATGCTTTTACATATTTCTAAGTACATGTTTCCGACTTTGATACAGAAAGAAAAATTCCTTGAAGTCATACCTGTTTTCGTTAAACATCCATTTTTGTGTTCGTAGCCACACGTTGTTCTCTTCATCTTTTTATATCAGTAAGAGGATGTGGGGTATGGATGGGTTGAGCCGGAGCGTGAGTGTGAGATTGGTGAGGATGAATGCGGGTTACGATCCATCCTTCAATGACACCTACATCCACTCACGCTCAAATCAACTCATGCTCACCCTTTTTTGTCTATCTTTGACAGTTATAGTTTCAAGAATTCTTGTTTAATATTTTCGTTTTTAATGTGGAAAAGCATAGTTTCTTATACAACTCAACGAGTTTACCCCATCATCGCAAGACACAAATAAATTCTAATGAGAGAACTATTAATATTGGGCATCTGACATGCATTACACATACCCTTCAAATTCGAATATCGTAGTTCATGCATGGTAACTGATAACATAAAAACGTACGTTTTCAGGAAGAGTATCCAAATGTTTTGTAATTACTATGAATTATCGCCAGCGAAAGAAAAGTTGTTTTTACAAGAAAGTCATTATCCTTTGTTTTTCTTCTTATAATCATTGGTTTTTCTTTCGTAATTTGTCTGTCATTCTTTTTTTTATTATTAATATTAAGCAGAATAACATGACACATGCAACAGTAGATCAAATAAGATATTTGAAGTGTTCACAAGTTCAAAGGAAAAAAAATCAATCGAAAAGTCTTCATTTTAAATGAAAAAAATAATCAAATTAATAGTTCTAATTTAAATCAAATTCATTTCCGGTTGATAATTGAGAATAAACGCGATCATTATTTCGTCTTCCTGTGTGAAGTCTATTATTATTCCTTCGCATTGCATAACGATTGTATAATATATATGTAAATCCAAGAAATAAGAGAACAACTATGATTGTGCAAATGAAGAAAATTGCTGTAAAATGTCTTCTCACAGATTTTGTAGATTTTTGAAAACTTGATTTATCATTCATTGGGAAGTTAGTATAATCACTATAAATAAATAGAAAACATGTTATCAAGATCGAAAAAGTAATTCGATATGTCCAAACAAGTCCAATAACTGATGGAATAACTTTAGCATTCATCACTTTTATAGTTATTTAACTAGAGTAGGATTAAGGCGCAACGGCATGAAGAGTTCGCGTGGTAGAGTACACAGCCTGTCAAATCGAATAATGGAAAAACGGAAAGAAGTATTAGGTATCTTTGAGACCACTATCCGAGATTGCATCAACAAATTCTCTCAATTACCGTACGACTTGCGGAAAAGGCTTAACCCATCCGTCTCTCCTTTACAAAAGACGTATTGATTGTATTAATAAATATTTGCCGACCTACCAACTGACTCCAACATCACACAATATATATACTTCAAATAAGTGCACACATCAATCAAGAACGATTCCTTTTTTTTGAGGATTTAAGACCTATCAAAATAAATTTTATAGTTTCCAAAGAGAAATCTAATTATACTTTGTCTATATCCTATGAACAACTAACCGTTTGGCTATAATCGCACGCATTTTTCGAATCGGTAATTTTTGACATATCATAGATGCTAGCCGATTACAAGGTATTTCATCGCATAAAATCGATAATGTGTAGTCAGATCGAAAATCAACATATGCACAACCAGTCTGTTGAGTTATTAATTGTTTTTTTTCCATTTCTGATATAGTTGGCGATGACATTAATCTTTCATAACGTTGCCGAAATGTTAATTCACATAAAGTATAAAGAGAATTGAAATCCGATACACTTGGTAAAGTACTTCTATCAGTTGTATTATATTGTATTATAGTAAGATTTCGATTATCATAAAAAGCACCAACATGTGCAACACCAGATGATGTGTAACTATATTGACGTAAAAATAACGATTTTATTAAAGTCAATGTCGTCATTCTTTCAGGTATAAATAAAGTAGCATTATCACGTTCACATTTTGCTTTTGCATCCTGCCATGTCGTTTCGTGAAGATCTACTTTATAGCAATAGTCATCCATCAAATGATACTCTTCATCATCACCACATGAATAATCTGATGATATATTAATGGATACAATCGACGAATCGTCACCTGTAGTTCGAGGAATAACTATCGAATTAAAATCTAGATCTTGATCTACACAAACTGGTATAGCAGATATTGATGAGCATTCATTTGATTCAGTAAAACACCATTCGTAAGTCATTGTATCATGAATTATAATTTTTTCGTAACGAAGAAGAATACAATGTGGATCAATTACTTGTGATGTTTTTGAACATCTTCCAATAGAACGATCTGATGTTTTATTGTCATTTGTAATATCAGATGTACGATCAATCCAAAAAAATTTTGTATCATTAAACATACGTGAACGAAAACCAAAGGAAAATGTGTCGAAGACATCGCTAGTGAACATTGATTTGGGTAATATATCTTGAATTTCCAAAATATCATTTATTTTTGCAACCATACCACCAATCGATTTACAATAAGATTGTGCACTTGAAAAAGAATTTTTCTTTATTGAAACATTAGTATGTGCACATCTTTGTTTATCTACAACAGCTTTAAAACCTACAAAAATAATAAAGCTTCATGTTTTCTATTCAATAAACTAATTTTCATTTGTGTTCTCTTACCAACAGGACAGTTTGTTTTCATGACGTACATCGAATATATCGATGAATTTTCTGAATTTCCACATGTATATAAATAATTACCTGAACATTCTTGAGTACAATTTAAATCTGAAGATTCAAATGCATTATTTTGTTTCTTTTTCAATGGAATATTTGTACATAAGCATTTGTTTGAATTAAGAAGAGCATATTTTTGTCGATAATTTGTACATAATTCTAAACAATAACGAGGATGAATATCATTTATACGAGTTAACTCGAATTCATACATCGTTGATTGATTCACAGAATGCAAATATATACAACTATCATAAACGAAATAAAAACTGGGTGTAGTCAGACTATCAATATCGTCATCGTTGAACTGGAATATGCTATTAGGATCTTCAAAGACAACGATTGTATCTTCATTACCACAAAGTTCATGTTGACTACCTGAAATTATTAATTATTATATGTACGTCTGCATTCACTTACTGAATCACATATAAATTCAAGTTCAAATATATAAACAAGATACTAAAAGTGGTACGAATTTATAGGTTTTTCTATGGGATATAATTACCAAGGCGGATGAATCTATTCATTCGGAACATTGTTAATAATAGTATTGATAGTAGAGTCCATCAATTTCGAGGGTCTAGGAGGATCAGAATTGGGTTACTAAAGTCTTTTGGAATCTGAATCTGATTAACTGAAAGACGACTATAAGGTATTGACTATAAAGAAAAGTAGACATAGGCTTGTAGACAGACTTTCTCGATCTTATAGTGTATGCATTATCAAATTGTACTCCTTGTCATTCCTATGTCAGTCGTGTGGCATCACCTTTACGGTATTGTTTCATGACCGTGACAATAATGTGTCTAACTATTGATTTATTAACAGTATGAAGTAGAACTGTACAATACATTCGCCATGATATACAAGACATATATCACTGCAACTCCTCACATATTTTATTCTATGGGCAAAAATCATAGAAAACCTATAGTTGCTTTTGTCAGATTTGTTCCACAGTACTGTAATCCTCTATGATCAAGTTTTCTAATCATGATTGGAATAATTGCTTCAAAAAAACGCGATATCTTTCTCATGTGTTTTCTTCTGTGTATTTGATTAATTGTGAAACTTGCAGACTTGTCAGAAAGCTAGAGTTTTTATTGTTAAAATTTGATCTCGAACTTTCCTGCAGTAGTACAATTTGTCGATAGTTGAATTTATTTAGAAAAAGAAAAACATTAACATTTATTACTGAACCATACATACCTGGACAAGGATTTCCACAATCTTTTTTTTCATATTTTTCATAATGTGGTTCAATAACAAACGCCCGTGAAACGACACTATTGAGGCAATAACATTTATTGATATAAATAACAGTTAATGCTGTGTGTAATTTTTTACAAACAGATAAACATAATTCATGTGTTAAATGATTTGATATTATTGTGGGTAAACCAAGTATTAATGGTTTGGATAAACAACGTTGCTGAGAGTAGAGAAAAATAGATTTTGTTTTACATAAAAAATGTCTTGGTTTCGAACAATTAGTGACTTGAATCTTTTTTAAAATAGAAATTTCATTTCTGTTGACTAGGAAACGTGTGACAACTATACATGAATCATCTATTATAGTTGATTTATTAGCTTGTGTTGGATTAATCATTTGAAATTCATGTATAGACGAATGATTGAAATTAACATTGGATACTAGGGATGGTTCATCTGTACTAAATGAACTAAGTTGGTGAAATGTTGATTCAGTTTTTGATAGATCTAAAAAAAAGAATTACTTTAGCCATGTTTAGAAATGATTAATTCTATACTCTTTTTTTTAAATCATGTCATGTATTGTCCGCAAACTTCCTCTACATAATCTATTTGAAGAGTTAATTTTTTCGGGATCTTTCATGGTAAAATTAAGAGTATTCGGGAAAAAAAATTAACAATACATTCGTCATATATTTAATCATCACACTCTTTAGATGAAAATCTGGAATTTTTCAAGGTATTGTTCAACTTTAATTACATGGCTCCGTCATTTGTGATCCATTTTTAAAAATTATACATGTCAGCGTCAATTTCAATTCTAAAAGCTATGTTCTTATCGATGGACAATATGAATATGTCATTTTTTTTAATGAACAGATTAATTTCTTGTTCAATTCATAAAATAATCTTAATGATATAATTAAGGTTTCATTATATCAATAAACACGAAAGTACTCGTGTTGAAATATAGATCTGTTTCAATCGAATAATTCGTTCGAATTCTGAATAATCCATAAATCACCCGATTTGACTCAAAACCTACAACTACAATCGGTAGATCGTTTGGTGTATTGACGTTGTACTAGCATTAGTTTGATACCTAAACAGTTGGAGATTTTCTGATCGCGTTAGCATCATAGCATACTGACAGTTGTTCACTGACTGGTACACATTCTGTAGTGTGAACGAATATGCAACGTGGAAGTCGAATTGAATTACTCAGAGTCTATTCTTGATAATATTCATTCAAACCTTGCATAATCTTAACTGTGTTCTACTTATTCCACTATTTAATCTATAGAATTTTATCATCTATGGAGAACTACTTGAATGAATAATCAATAAGATTCCTATTGAAGACTTTACTTGTATCAAGAAGATAAAAGCCAAGGCGCATTTGCCATGGTGACGTATATTGAATGATTTCACCTTTATGCAAATCATAGAAATAATCCTTGATGTTGTTATGCATTTCATTCTTATCATTATCATCACTGTCGCTGTATATAATCTCTACATCCTTTATCGTTTCCTCAGTCTTTGATATAGTAATACAACTATTTCTTGCTTCTTGAATTGTTTTAGGTTCACTCGATATCTGGTAACAATGTTTGTTTAAATCAAGCCAATTATGTGGACAAGTAGTTAACATTGGATCTATATTATATATATAAGTTGGATAAAATCTAGCATCATATGATAATGAATTCTTATTTGTTGGATTTTCTACGCATAACCTATATGACAATCTATCTAAATAAGAAAAATATGAAACAACACGTAAACAACCGTTATCTAATGCATAATTTGTGCTAAAATTCATGTTAGAATAATCTGCCCCAGGAAGATATAAATTTATTGAATTAATGCTTGTTGTTGTTGTTGAGCATTTCCATGAAGGATCAATAGTAACATCATTATTAAAATCAATTGAAACCATGGATTTAGTTAAGTTTAACTTTTCAATTATTTTTAGAAAGACATTCCATGTTACATTTCCATCGTAAACATATTTAACTGATGGTGGTTCACAAAAATCCACTATTGTTATCTCTGAAGATATGCATTTTTTTAATTCTTTTATATAAACAGAACTTATCGGGCATGCTTCATTTAAATCATATATAGCCCATACACGCCGATCTGATGATGAACCACATTTAAATTTATGTTCAACTTTTGAATGACCCAATATGTTATCACAATAACGGTCACAATTATTATTTGATAAAATTGTTAAATTAAGTGCACGATTAGAGTCAACATTTAATTTCTGTGGCATTATACATAAACATTGATTGATATCATCATTGAAAGCTAGAAAGAAATGATCAGATTCTATTGTTTTCTTCGATATAAATAAAATTTTGTTCAGATCTCTATTAATATTATAATTTACAATTAATCAATCAAAAAAGTCAAACCTTTGCAATTGTCTTCAGAAATTTATTACAGCTATTTCATTTTGATTATACAGTAAAGTCGTTCGATAAAAGAATGGGTTTGAAGAATGAAGAAATCACAATTAATAGTGGTAGTCGACCACATTCCAGTTCAAAGTTCACATAGAATCAGCAAAACAACTACTCGAATAGATATGACCGTATCAAGCTCAACAACATGTAATTTCGTTCCGAATCATTTACTGTATCAGTTAAACTTGTTTCAAAAATATTTTCTATGAAGTGTAAAAAAAAGTAATTTTGGAAATTTTCCTTTTCCGAAAATTTTCAATGCAAACTTGCCAGAGAGAATTCGTCACGTACTTATGCTGATGAAAAGTCATGTTCACTAATTGAATAAATTCTTCAATTTGTTCTAGGTATTATCATCAAGAAGGAAAGTAAAAAATTACTTTGTTTCTAAACATTTTGTTTTCACTTTAATTTTTCAAATTGCTAAGTTTTCTAAAAATGAACATACGTCCTTCATCTCGACTTCATACCCGTCCAAACTGTGTCAAAATGTTTTATTCTGTGCTCTCACTATAACGAGAATTATCAACAATGTTGCTGATCCATTGTGTACATTTTCTAAAAATCTCTGGTTTCTCCTTTCACTGTTTTTTTTCAGAATCCAAAGTATTCCTATTGCAAAACCAGTGAAATAATCGATATCAGCATACGATACAGTATTGAATGGTGTATAACACTAGGCATTATACAACGAAAAAATGCTCTTGAAAGAAGGTGACTAATAGTTCCCTTTGGTGTTTCTTTTCGCCTGATGAGTGAAAGTTGTAAGGCGAGATTTTTCAACTCTCCTAGCCGTTCTCCATCACAGACAATAGAAAAAAAAATCGTACTCCTACCAATTATAGATACTGGCAAGCAACGAATCCCACCATCGTAGACTTCAGAGAAATAGGACAAATCCTTACAAAAGGTTTTTAACTTTACTTATTTTGCATCAGTTTACTCAGACTAAAGGGTATATCCGAGTTCTATATTATAGCCCCAAAGACACTGCATTAACAACCTTTTCTCACATGTCTTATTCTCAGCTGTAGATAATAATTTTTTGGTACAAGGTAGCTGCTTCCGAGAATACAAGTAATATGTTTGTCTCTCATGTAGAGAATGCATACTATATGTCACTCAGATATTTATGCAGTATCTTTGGGGCTATAATATAGAACTCGGATATACCCTTTAGTCTGAGTAAACTGATGCAAAATA